AATCAGATTAGAATTTTATAACATAAAAACTGATTTCAATCGTTAAATAACAAATTATTGATTAATCAAATTTTAGGTGTGTTGATAACACTTGAGAGAATAATATCCATGGCAATTTTACTCAACAAATACTTGGTGAAAAATTCTATTTCTTAGTTATTTTGTGTTTTTAATAATAAAGAAACCAGTTTATAATAAAAGATAAAATTTTACCTTTTGCCTAGTAAATATCTATTTTCACGAACAAAAATTAATTAAGAAATATCACGTATTTTTCAATTTAGCAATGTTTTTGATTTCAAACAATACCGGGTATCCCAGCTTTAGTTTCGCCGAAAATGACATCAATTTTTTTTTTGTAATACAAAAGAGTATAATTTTTCAGAACATTATACAGTGCCAGAATTTTGTGATGACGTCATCAACATTTTTGCAAGAACACTTATATCAACTTCGAACGGTGGACTGTAATACTCAAAATAAAAATACTGTATTAACAAAGTTTTCTGGGAAAAAGGAAAAAGCTTTTTTCGCTCCATGCAGATAATAAGTGTAAATTATCCTGTAAAAGCAGACAGTCTTGTATCGTATTAACTGTCAAAAATAGCTTAAGATCATCAGCGAAGAGCAGTTTTTGGCAGGTCAGCACGTCCAAAATATCATTCCCGCATAGTAAAAAGTGTAGAGGCCCTAGATTAGACCCTTGCAGCGCACCAGAGGTGGGACAAAAGCCGTCAGAAACAAAATTCTGCTACTTAACAAAAAGTTTCCTGTCCAGGAGGTAAGATTTAAGCAGTTGAAGCAATGAGTTAAAAAGTCCAAGTGAGCTAAGTTTCGCAAGGAGTACATAGTGATCAATCCGATTAAAAGCCTTGTTAAAGTCAGTGTAAATGACATCTACTTGACTGTTATCATCAAGAGCCTCTGAGACGCACTGACTGAAACATGACAGGTTTGTTATAGTTGATCTCCTTTTTACGAATCCATGTTCAAATGGGGTGATAAAGCTTTTAACGGAAAAGAAAATACGTCTGTGAATAACTGATTCGAATATTTTTGAATAGTTGCAAAGGATACAAATACAAATGGGTCGATATTTGTCAATCACCCTTTTTGAATACCGGAGAAATTTGTTACTTTACCTTTGGGCTTCTTTCCAAATCCGGGGAAAAGACAACAGAAGATACCTAAAAAAGTCTAAAGACTGGAACTACGTTAAAACATTTCTAATTGACAGACTGATGGACTTCGACTTCGAATCCGTGAATGAAAAATGTGGTGAATGCTTAGCAACTTTGATAGGGATGAAATTAGATTCTTTCGAAGTTGTTGTGGAAAAATGCCCGAGGGCTGTACGGTCGGCGCTTGAAACATGAAACAAAATACATAATGACCTGCCTTTTATTATCTATCCCTAAATTAAAGAAAGGAAAAACGGAAAAATTTACAAGTTGAAAATTTGAAAAATTTTGCAAATGGAACAACGGCTGATACCAAATAAAATATAAGAATAACAATAAATCCAAATTAAAAAAAAAATTATAACATTTGGTTTTTTCAGAAAATCGAAAATTCCAGATATTGAAACATCTTTATCGAAACGCTGGGAAATGGAAAAATTAAAAACCAAGCCAACGAATAACTGAAGAATCGAAAAAGTGAAAAATCAAAAAATTGAAAAAGCTAAAATTTAGATAATTAATAAATCGAGAAATAGAAAAATCATGAAATCGAAAAATCCAGGACGGGAAAGAAAAAATCGAAAATTTGAAAAATCGAAAAATTAAACAAATTCAGAATTACTGAAATAGACAAATCGAAAGCTTGGAAAATCGGAAATTCGGAAAGCCGAATAAATTGGAAAATCGAAAAAGAGAAAATTCCAAAAATGGATAAACCGAAAAAATTAAAATCGAGAAATCAAAAAACTGAGAAGTTGAAAGATCGAATAATGGAATAATTGAAAAATCGAGGAACTGAACAATAAAAAAATTGACAATTCGAAAAATTCAAACATGTAAAAATTAAAAAATCGTAATATTAGGAAATGGAAAAATTAAAAAACCGAGACAACGAATAATAAATCGCACATTTGAAAAAGTGAAAAATCGATTAATTCAAAATTTGAATAATTGAAAAAGAGAGAAAGCGAAAAATTTAAAAAATGGAAAATCCAGGAATTGAAAAATCAAAGATTGAAAATATAATTGTAATAAAAAAAATGCAAAAATTCAAAATTGAAAAATCGCAAATCGAAAATATACAAGTGGAAAAATTGAAAAATAAATGAAAAAACGCAAAATTGTGATACCAAAAAGCTGTAAAACCCAAGAAAAAGGAAGAACGAAAAATTGTCATATAAAAAATTGGAAGGTAAATAAATCCGAATTTTCTCGAAAAACTATAAGCTTTGAATTTGTGAATTGACCAGTAAAGTAAGGTTAGAATTTAGAATGCGCGGCAGTTCATAATTCAAAAATTCTACTATGGGTTTCTTATGGGAGCTTGATTTTACAGACAAAATACGCCGCATAGGTAGAAATCTTAACTAGTTCATGCTACAAGCGATAAAGACTGTACAATTATCTTCCTGTTACTAAAGGTTTAACTATATAAAAAGCTTCTGTTAAAGATATATTGCAAATTAAAAACAACGCTATCCATCGAAGTAACGTACATCGTTTCTAACGTCTTGCGCATGAGTGAAACGGAAAATCCAGAAACACTTGGGAAAGAAAAAGAACGCGAATATTTTGCGGTACTAGTGACGTTTAGATCGTGAAAATCCCCAAAATATGACAGTTGATTTCGTATTTTCATCACAACAAACAATCATAATCACAATTTTTGGATGATATATTAGTTCTGTGATATTGATTCACATTGGGTTGTATGTATCTGTGGACTGGTTTTTTTGTATTTGTTATTAATAATGACAGAAAGACATGTGTTAACAATAGGGGCAATTGCCACTTTTTTTTGTTGGAGAAAATTCTTTACAGTCAAATAATGTAGCGAAAGTCAATTGGTATACTGAATTAAATGTGCTTGAAGAGTTTATTCGAGCTAGAATGCGAGAAGATTATGGTAAGTTAATGTATATTGATAAATTCTGTGTCAAGTAAAATTATGATGTATTTTGTTTTATTATGCATAGATATTCCTTAAGAGAGGCAACATGTGAAACCCCAAGAGGTGCATTTGTATATCATCATATGGCTACACCTGCCCTACACGGACGTTATAATGTATTGTGGACCAATAATTTGCGTGCTTGAGACGTACATCTGAAGAAAAGTGAATCAGCTGAGGTCCGAGCTGTTGTCTCTGAAAATTCTTTTAATCCCCAAGTCAGCCTAAAAACAGCTAATGTTGAGGTACAACTTCATGAAAGCTTAGGACAAACTGATAGGAGCGAAGCACTGCTTTTGCTATTGGGCCCTGAACTAGAAAGATCTGAAGAAAATCTACTTCACAGTGTCGAAGAACTATTAGTGTCCGAGGACTATTTTAATGGCCCATCAAGAAAACAGTTTGTGGGTCAGTTTTTCACCAAAAGTGAATCAGATTTTGCATTAGGAAGTGCAATTTTTTATTGTAAAATACTTTTTTTTTGTTTTGAAATAAATTGTTCTTTAAATTGTGATTTTTTTTTTTTAAAGGGGTGTTTCAGACCCAATTCGTACTAAAATGAGAGTGATTTTTACTTGTACATGAAAGGTTTAATCAGGAATGCTAAGTTTTTCCTTTTCTAGCAAAAATGTGTGAAAAGAAAAAAGCTTGGGATTGATGATGATTCTTAAATCAAAATTTGGCAATTGATTGAAAACATTTGCAAATATGAGATCTCCTTTATGTATTATTTTAAATTCACAGCCGTATCTGTAGCATCTGAAAATCAAAGCCATTTATGTGGAGGGGGAAGTCAATGGCAGTATGAACCACTGTACGACATACGTTCGAGGCAAATGTAGTGGTAAAAGTTGAATTTAAATATTTATTAAATACTACCGGTTCCGTTCATGTTTGGTATCAAGATCAACAGTAAAAATATCAGTCTTAATGGTACAGGTAGTGGGATATATAAGAAAATTACTTTAATGGTACAATTTAAGCGTTAAAGTGACGCCTCGATTTCACCCATAAGGATTACACGGGGAACTGAAATACGGGTCTCGTGTTATGAACTGAGTTCAAATTTCGCGCGTCATTCACTTTACTGGTCAATTTTATTTGTACAATATAAAGTGAAAATAAATTTAAAGAAAAAAATTCCAAAAATCTGGATGTCAGGAGTGAAAACTTAAAAAAATGTATGTACCTTATATTGTAAATTCTGGAGTCCACGTCATGCCATTAGTGGTGGGGATGATTAACCAAATTTTTCATTACCGTTTTACCATTCATATGATATTCGTAAAACACATACAAAATTTAACAATTGGTCTAGTAGTTACGGAGATTATTTTCACTATTTTCGTACACTAGGGGCCATGAAACTTCGAGAAAACACGAAGGTGGCAAGTCGCCCGATGGACTCAATTACTATACTTTCTTAGCTGACGCTCAGGAAGCGAAAAAGTAAATAAAATTTATGCAAAAGTTTGGAATATTGGGAACTCGAGAAAAGGAATAATGTAATAAGAAGAAATGTATAATTAGGTAAGTTATAATAATATTTATTTAGAAATCTTTCGAGATGGCGTTGGTAGGGTTGAATAGTCAAATTTTGGTATGATAATCTTGAAGCATCTGCTAAATTTCAGAGTTTAAGCCTTTTGGTATAAAGGTAAAGTTTCGTTCAAAATTATGTTTTTTTTTTTAATTTCATTCGTTTAAGAAATTCTAACTACTGCTACGAGCGCCATCTGGAGTAGCTATTCAATTTCGTATGCACCAGTTTAGATAACTTCCAATAGTTCTTGAAGTTAGGGGTAGAGGATTCTATGGGTAGGGGTTGTGTTGTGGTGGTGGTGCTACTTTGTTTACGTTTGCGTAGATGTTGCGTAGCTTCCGCCACTTCGTCATCACAGTGTGTTCTACCTATATTTTTAGATGGAAAGGAAGCCGACCTTTCAGAGCATAGAAGAGAGCCACTTGGGTTTGCTGAGAGTATTGAAACAATGGTTAAGAAGCCAGAAAGACCGCGCTGGGCTAAATTTGCCACGAACGGTTACATTAGGTCATCATGCAGGATGTCGCCACAGGTAACAATTACAATCAGAATATTTCTTTGTTAAAGTCACAATGAAAGCCAAATGTTAGTTCAAAATAAAAACGTCTCAAAATTTTACTTGATAATCCTGTGGGTGAATCGGTTGTTGAATTTTTTGAATACACATCTGAAAAGTGCAAAACATATTTGATTGTTGATTCCATGGACGAGCCGCCATTGATCAGAACGTTAAATTGTTGTTAAATGTCTAAAAATATATCCACATCTAACTCTTTAATTTTCTAATATAAATTGTCGGGACTCTTGTACATATTTATAAATGAAAGAATGCTATAGTAGAAATCTTTTGGAAATAACACGACCAGTGGCGTCGAGATTGTTGTTCTTTAGGGATCAATGAAAAATTTTGTTGAGGACGTAAATGTAGAAAATTGTAAAAAAATATTCCAGTAATTATTCGCTTGACAGTTGCTAATGTGGAATATTTCTTTGTTGACATGGTTGCACAGTAAAAATTGAAAAATGCACACTGAAAATGTACCAATTATCACTTTTATGTTTACCAGTTATTAGCCCACCTTAAACAATCCAAAAGGAACTATAGTTTTGTAAAGAAATGCTTATATAAAACGGAAATATAGAATAATAATAATGATAATAAAATAGCGTACACGGACGAAATTAAAAACAGCAACCGCAGGCACACCACTGTAAAACAGCTGAAAGCACCCCTCAAATTTGAAAGTGGATTCGCCGGAATCAGCGTTGTGCTGTTTTCAATTGATCTCTACTCTAATGTTAAGGGCGCTCCTACGGTAAAATCCACAAAATTTACATTTTTGACACAGATTGAAACAATAGTGAAATGCTACATTTTTAATGTTGATTTACAAGGTGTAAAATTTCAGTCGTGTTAATGGTTTTTCAACTGAGAATTTCCAAACTCTTTTTGTAAATCCCTATGATGCATTTGTAAAAAAGATGTCTTGGTTTGGTTACCACACTGAATGCACACAGGAGTTGAGTTTTTTCTTTATTATTTATATTATTATTATTATTCAAGTTGGTCAACAGGTTTTCCCATTTACAGACGAACTTCACCTTAACATTTAAAGTACAAACTATAACAGCAGCTGTCTCTCACTACTGGTCCCAGATATAGGTACGTTTATATTGAATGAACCTAGTTCGAATATCGCAAATGCCTTAAGTATTAGGCGTTGAGAGACCTTGGAAATCTGATATTTTTAGTGCATATGTATCTGCTTTTGACTTCATCAGTGTGTAAGAGCCAACCATTTGATGTACTAGGGACATCACCAAATCATTTGTTCTAGCTGTCTCCAGATGAAACAAATTATGTGACCGACAGTTAAAAGAACGAACTCGCAAACATATTTTGAACAGTCAACTACATGGTTTAAAATCTGTGATAAAAACTTTATATAAAAGTATCTTCTTCTATTAATCAGTGACGGAATTTGCAGATCTATACTTATATTATAAAACTGAAGAGTTTGTTTGGTTGAACGCGCTAAATTCAGAAACTACTTGTTCGAATTCAAAAAATCTGTTTCTGTTGGATAGTCCATTTATCGTATCTACATATGGGCTATATAAAATCACGCTACGATCAATAGGAGCGACGTAGCAATGAAAAACATCGGAAAAACGGGAAAATTATTCCCCCTTTGACAGCTTCCGTTGCTTATGCTTTTTAAACGGTTAAATTCACGTAAAAATTATATATCCACTTGAATCTGTTTATCCAGATGTTCACAGAGAAATTGTGCAATAGACGCAACATTCGTAACAGTAGATCTTTTTGAAACAACAACCATGCTGATAATGAGATTATCTGGTTAATGACATGATTGTGAGTTCTGTCATACAAAATGAATTCAAAAACTTTCTTGAAATTATTAATGATAGAAATGGGACGATAATTTCTGATCTCAGACTGATCACCCTTCTTAAAAACAGGACAAAATGTTGAAATTCTCCAAGATTCTTTTCGGATTAGATTTGATATCATTATCAATTTTAGTAAGGGGGTTCCTGTGAGCTATTATCATTTTATTCTTTAGTTGAGTTCTTAAATCCTTATATTGTTTTTATATCTTTTATGTTTCCTCCACAATTTATATTTATATTTAATGAGACGTATTATTTGTACTGTATACCTCACAAATACCGTAAATTTCGACCCTCCAGCTTTATTTATAAACAGAATTTTAGATTTGCTTATAGAGGGTGACTCAAAAAAATCATTAAATCAGTCAATCTATTTCACTTAATAAATCAAGAATTGCAAAACTGAATGCTTTGCAATCTTGCAGACGTTTTAAGATCATTGTAAGCATGGTAAATTGTTAATGTCAAAATTTTGCCGAATAAATTCTACCCAAAATGTGCAAAATATGAGTTTTTATTTGTGATTCATTATTGCATTCATATTTTTTATTGATCAAATTAAGAACGAGTCATCCCATTTTCTCGAAAATGTGAAAATATATACAAACGTCTTTATTTAATAAGAATTATAATAATGATATTCAGAACATTTTGTCAATTGTAGCTTACTACTTAACAGTTTTGATCCTCTGTTTTAAGGGGACGAACTCATTCAAATCATACTAATTTCTACGTGACATTATTCCGATGTATAAACATAAACACTTTCAACTTGTTCTTCTTATCGAGGATAACCTAACGACGTACAGTAATAGAGTTCATCGGGCATTTTGGTACTTTCATATATTCTCGATATTTCATAACCCCTAAACAAGGCTGCAGTTAGGAAGAACTAGGGGATGTTGAGCCTCCCCTATATCTAGACAAATTATAATTACCCTGATATGAATTTGTGCAATCTGTGGAATTTCTGGAACCTCCTGAATTTTTAGAATCTCGAAAACCTTTAGAAATGTTATAATTCCTTAAATATATAAGATCTTTAGGATGATATTACTTGACCAACATTTTTTTGAATTTCGGGAATCTTTAGAATATCTGGATTCAGTGGAATCTCTTGAATTTCTAGAATCTCCACGATCTCTGGAATTTATAAAAATGCTATAATAAAATATATAGAATCTCTAGAATCACTAGTTTCTAGACCCTAGTGGGAGATATTAGAGATTCCAATTTTTAGTGTGTCTAGTATATCGGGAATCTATTGGATTTCTGCAATCTCTGGAATATCTAGAAACTCTAGAATTTATAGAATTTCTAGAATGCCTAGGTTTTCCGGAACTTCTAGAAGCTTTATAATTTCTAAAGTACCTAGAATCTTTTGAATCAATAAGTTTCTACTATTTTTGGTACCTCTAGAATCTCTAGAACCTGTAGGATCTCCGGAATCTAATGAAATTCTTGAATTTCTCAATTTATTGAGTTTTTCGAATCTCTTGAATCTTTATAATCTCTAGAATTGTTCGTATCACCAGAATTCCTAAAACCTTTAGAAGCTTTGTAATCCCTAAAATATATATAACGTCTAGAATCATTAAATTTCTAGAATCTTTGGAATCTTTAATTTGTTTAAAATATCTGCTCTCTTTGGAATGCCTAGATTTTCTAGAATTCTTGTAATTTCTAGAAAGTCTAGGTTCCCTGAAATCTCTAGTAGCTTTATAATCTCTACAGTATATAGAAACTCTGGAATCAGTAGATTCTAGAATTTTTATTGACTCTTAGAAACTCGAGGAGAATTTCTGGAATCGCCGAAATCTCTGAAATCCCTTGAGTCTTTAGCATTTCTAGAATCACTAGATTTCTATCATCTTTAAAATATCTAGAATCTCCGGAATTTCTGAAATTTCTGGAATTTTTTGAATTTCTTAAAATACATGGGGTCTCTGTAGTATCTCTAGAAACTCTAGAATATTTGGAACCTCTAAAATCTCTGAAATTTTTATCCTAGATTCTCATGAATTTTTCGAATTCCTAGACTCTCGAGATTCTAATAGAATCTGTAAAATGATTATGATCTCTATGATGTTCTGGAACTCAACGAATTCTGGAATGACGGAGTCTTTTATACTTTGGAGACCTTTGGAGGGTTTTTAGGAATTTCTTAGGGTGATGATTTTACGATGCTTAGGATCTTTTTGTCTCTTTAGAATAATTCATATTTTTTGAGATGCTAAAAATGTTTAGAGCTTTTAGATTTAGATCTTAGAATCTTTGAGCTTTGGAATTTTCCAATCTATTAATAAACTTAGAATTTTTAAAACCGGTGAAATCTTTATCATCCTTTTATCTGTTGATGTTTAGGGTCTTTGTGATCTTTTACATCTTTGAGATCTTTATGAAAAAAAAAGTAGTGTTTTATTCAATAAGCGGAGGTCAGAACAATAAAATAGTCTGGACCGTCGGTATTTTGATCCGGTGCGTGCAGTGTTGCCAATTTTACTTTTATAAAATTACGTTTTTTTCGTAATTTACATCAAAAGAATTTTTTTATTATTTCTTTGGGACTCCCGAAACCCTCATATATAACGTACGGAAGAGTTATCCGCTATTTTTCACACACCCGGTATAAATGCGAAGAAAATTGAGTGGAGCTCCATCTTGTTGAAACCACCATAGGATTTTACGACATACTTTTGAATTTTTAAATTTTCATTATTATTAGTAGATTGTCTTCCTATTTTAATCATATCTAAGAGTAAAAGCTTGTTTTTGATAATGTATTGTTTCTTGAAGTTGAATACTTATGTCATTAATTTTGTTTCAGGCAAGAAATTCCTCACTTATTGATACTTCCCAAATCCGACGACGAAATAGGTATATGTATCAAAAAGTCTCCGGCTTTTCTTTACATCCTCCTGGCAAACGATGCACCGTTGGATGTTATGGACTACTACAATGTTACTCCAATAAATTATCATACAAAAATAAAAATGATAAAATATTGCCTCAGTCAAGGACTCGACCCGAATTTCGGCACACGCGATGACACTCTATTGCATCACGTTCTAGCTGAGTTCAGCTTTGAGGACACCAACTGTGAAGATTTGGACGAAATGGTTTGCTTACTTTTGTATTACGGTGCACTTCCTACAGAAGAATTTCAACATGATGGTGAGATGTACACAGCCTTTGACTACGTTTGTTTGCACATGTTGGACGAAGTTTCGTCGTTTGTTTTCGAACAGCTGTTTCTGTACACTTTTGGAGACGGAGAGTGTGCAGGGAAGATTTCTTTAAAGGCGTTTCTTAGAGTAGTAGGAACCGAAAAGTACTTGAGAAAGTACAGAAAATGTAACCGCAAAAGACGTATAATAGATGAGCTTAAGAATCTCGATCTTGAGTTCACTATAGGCGAGGATGAGATGAGGTATGAGATACTGGAAATTTTTGTGGATATGGATTTTGTTTGCTGTATGGATATGGTGAAGAGGTGTCCGGACGCTCTAAGGGCCGTATTAGAAGAAAGTGAGGTGTACTTTTTTGAGAAAATTTATGAATTTACGAAAATAATGGATTGGGTAGTTTCACAAGAGAACGTCTTCAACAGTGCGGTGGATTTTTTTGAAAATATAAGCAATGAAGAACTTTATGAGACTGTGGAGGACGCTGGAGAACAAGATGCGATGAAATTTATATTTTTTATTTTACAGTATGGTTTTAAATGTCCTACGGACCTGCGGGACTTCGTCTACCAAAAATTTGGCGACTGCCAGCTATTCCGAACACTGTTACACGTAGACACCTCTCATTCCGTGTATAACCCCAGTGAGCCGTATAACAACAACCGTAGGAAAATGTTTAGTGTCATTGTCGCCGATTTTTCTTTAACTGTGCATAATATCGCCGAAACAATTTCTTGTTCAAGTTGGACACTTTATGGAACAGTCTTGAAAACAGAATACGGTTACTTGACACCGACTGACGCAAATAAACTTTTGGATTTTTTCGTTCATCCAAAGTTAGTCCAGTCTTTTCTGGACACACCAGATTTACCGAAGCGTGTCTTTAATAAAATACAGTGTCTTCCAAAAGTGCCGCTACTTCAAGAACTAGCCAGAGACGCTTTTAAAGTACACCTGGTGCGCAGCTTTGACGTAAAGACTACGAAGGACTTTTATACGTTGGTTGGTTCGCTTCCTGTAGGGATTGGTTTCAAAAAAATGATATCTTTGGAACAGACACTCTACAACGTGATTTCGCCTGAAGATGCCAGAAGTGGCAACAAAGACTATTACAACATTTTTTAATTGATTTATTTGTTTTTTATTTTACATTTTTATAGTTAAGTTTAAGCAGTTTTGTAAATAAATTTTCTTTTATTTTGTGGGTATTAGTTTATATCGTTTTTAAAAATTACGCCAATTCAAGTTGTCTTAACCGTTTAAAAAACGGAAAAATGTTTTAATGAAATAAATAAAGTCGATAATAATAAAGGGAGGTTCATCGAAAATCAGATAGGAATCTTATAACATAAAAACTTTCTTAGGGTCTGTTTTTCAATCGTTAAATTCCAAATTATTGATTAATCAAATTTGAGTTATGTTGATACCACTTGAGAGAATAATATCCCTGGTAATTTTACTCAACAAGCACTTGGTGAAAATAATATTTTTTAGTTATTTTGTGTTTTCAATGATAAAGAAACCAGTTTTAAAATTTTATAACCTTTACCTAATAAATATCTATTTTCACGAACAAAATTAATTAACACATATCACGTATTGTTTTTTAGTTTAGCAATGTTTTTGATTCTCTCAAACGAAGACTAAAAATCGAGGAAATGAAAAATCGAAAAATTTACAAGTCGAAAATTTGAAAAATGTGCAAATGGAATTACGGGTGATACCAAATAAAATATAATAACAATAAATACAAGTTTTTTCAAAAAACTATAACATTTGATTTTGAGAGTTTTATTTTCTATGATAAGTTAAAACAAATAAATGAATGTAATGTCAAAGTAAATGTAAAGAAAAAATTCCAAAAATTAGGTTGTCTGGAGTGAAACCAACACGGATTCATATATCACAAATGCAGAAGTATCTTATTTTATAAAATTAAAAAGATATATATTGTAAATTCTGGAGTTGACGGAGAACCGGGAGACCACTCATTTCGTACTCTGCAGGTCATGCAACTTTGACAACATGAATTATATAGGGGAAAAGTGCCTAAAATGATCCCCTCAGGTCAAATGATCCCCATCAATTGTAAGAAAATTTGTGGCTCCATCTACCAAACATAACTGTCATTTGATTAAGCGCTCTGTAATTAGTACCTTCTGAAAGTTTGATGGCGTTCTGTGTATTCTGCACAGTTTTGTGCCAAAATATGCAAAATAACCACCTCTGATCTAAGGTAAGATATATTTTAAAAGTCCATTACTTCCATTTGAAAGGTCTTATAGCGGTGGTAGTTGTTTTGACAGAATTAGATACATTTCAGTCGTAGGTTAGTTATGATTTTTTTACCGCATGTAAAAATTGAAGGTTAGTTTACAATTTTTGAATGCGGATATGCTACCTAAGGCGAAATTATCCCTTTTTCTTGAGGCAAAATGATCCCGGATCATTGGGCGGGGCTAGTACCTGCTAAGATAAGACTGATTTTTGCAAATCATATACCCTCTAAGAAAAGAGAGGGTGGGTGGGCGGGGCTACTACCTGCTAAGATAAGACTGATTTTTGCAGATGACATATCCTCTAACCCCGCCCACCCACCCTTTAGTTTCTTCGAGGGAATACCATTTGCCAATACCAGTTTTATCTTAGCAGTTACTAGCCCCACCCACCTACTACCTGCTAAAATAAAACTGATTTTCGCAAATGAAATACCCTCTAAGAGAGGAGAGGGAGGGTGGGTGAAGCTAGTACCTCTTAAGACGGGGAAATTTAAATAATTTAAAAGAATTTTAGGGATTTTCGTGTTCTATTTTTGGGAAATTCTCAGTCTTGAGAGGTACTAATCCCAGTCACCCGCCGTCACTTTTCTTAATGGGTATCTCATTTGCCAAAATCAGTTTTATATTAGCAAGTATTAGCCCCACCCACCAACCCTCTCTTTTCTTAGAAGGTATATCATTTGCCATATTCAGTTTTATCTTAGCAGTTAGTAGACCCACCCACCCGCCCTCTCTTTTCTTAAAGGCTATATCATTTGCCAAATTCAGTCTTATCTTAGCACTTACTAACCCCACCCACCCACCCTCTTTTTTCTTAGAGTGTATGTCATTTGCCAAATTCAGTTTTATCTTAGCAGTTACTAGTCCCACCCACCCACCCTCTCTTTGCTTAGAGGGTATATCATTTGCCAAATTCAGTTTTATCTTAGCAGGTAGTAGGCCCGCCCACCCGCCCTCTTTTTTCTTGGAGGGTATCCCATTTGGCAAAATTAGTCTTATCTTAGCACGTACTGATGACTAAAGTATTGTCTCAAACTCTTCCAGAAATTATACACCCCGTATTTTCGATGCTTTTCGAATTTTTTTGTTTATTTTTTTTAAGAATTTATTTTTTTGTTAATTTTTGAAATAAAATATTTATCAGTTATGTCATGATTTGATTTTTCTTGTTGATGCTGTCCCCTTATGGTCAAAATTCAAAGGGATCATTATGCCCATGCCGAGGGATCATTTTACCTATGGGGATGCCTAAAATGATCCTTTTGTAAGGTCCTGGAAAAACGTTAATAACTTTTTTTATAATTATCGAATCACCAATTGGCTTATACTGTTACCTAGATAAATCAATGTTCTTGCAAATAATGCTACAGTTTTACATGAATAATAATAATTTGTATTTTTTAAAGAATTTTTCCCTTAGGGGGATCATTTTAGGCACCTTTCCCCTATTACTCTAAAAGTTGGTATTAAATACCTACGTATTTATTTAGAAATCCTTTGAAATGACGTCATCAAAATGTTGGTAGGATTGAATAGTCAGATTTTGATATGGTAATCTTCAAGCATGTGTTAAACTTCAGAGTTTAAGATTTCGGTATAAAGGTAAAGTTTCGTTCAAAATTATTATGTTTTCTTTATTTTATTCGTTACTGTAACGAACGCCATCTGGAGTAGCTATTTAATTTCGTAGTCACTATTTTAGATAACTTCTGGTAGTTCCAGTTATGGGTAGGATTTGGGTTGGGGTGGTGGTGGTACTTTGTCTACGTCACAGAAAACGTCATCACAGTATTCACAGTAGTCATTCGTTCATTTTGTGTTCTACGGTTGAGTTTAACTTCTTACACTGTGTGAAAAATGAACAACGATATGTCGATACTTGACATTCCTACTGCTATACTGGCTTCTCCGTAAGTGTTAAATATATAGATTTTAAGATTGAAAGGAAGCTGATCTGTAACACCATAATAGAGTGTGGACACGAAATGATCGTTTCAACTTTAAAATATTTTAGGTTATATAACAGAAACACTAAAAAAAATTGCAGCAATCCCCTTGACCGTGATTTTTTATAACTTGTCATTTTTTTTAAGTACAAAGTCAAATATTGAAAATATTTTCTGAAAATGCACTGTGGTTTAATTAATTGTAATAACAGCGCAAACGATGGATATCGTTTAATAAAAAATTGTTAATCCGGAACAAACAAATGCTGAACAAAATATCAACATTCAAAGTTTAACAGAACTATTAGCGCAAATCACGTGTTTAGGAAAGTTGTTGTTTAAAAGAAAAAATTAAGAGTTTGAATTTTAAAAATTAAAAATTCATGACAAACTGGTGATTGCAAGTAAGACGAAATTTAAAGTGTGTTAATTGTCTAGAAGCAATTATTACCAAAAAATTTTCCAGGCCTTATACGAAACTCGTTTGTTTAAGAGAATTTAAAGTTAATTCATTAACATATCCAACAGAACTTGTATTTAATTTGTTTTTAATTATAAAATTTTTTAAAAAATAGGTAATTCCTGAACAATATGTTGATTTAAATTTTCTGTATTTACACGAAACGAAACTTAAAAAAGAATAACGCAAAATAACAAGGAAAATTTTTAATTTTTTTAGTTCGTAATTTCGTAATATAATGTAAATGTAACTAAACCGATTTAAACTGTTTCGTTATTTTATTGATCATAAATCAATATTCAAGACGACACAATGCATTTTCCCGAAAATTTGGGAATCCAGTACTTTTATTTTTAGTATTATGCAAGAATGAGTCCCACGGAATCTTTGCAATACTTTGGGTACCATTGTCTCCAGCTTTGGGCAACTTTTTCACGGGTTATTTGCATTTTCGAATACAAAAGCGATCAATAATAAGAATAAAAATAAACCCAAACATAACACTTCAGAAACTTGAATAAAAGGTTTTTTTTAAAATATGGAAAAATTTTTACAATACGAGAAGTGACATTTAAACTTGAAAAAAAAAAGACTTTGTCGATGGATTAACTGAGACATTGTCAAGTCAAAATGACACAAACTGAGTCACTACTTATGTGGTTAATTTTGTTTCAGACATGGTGTTCCTTCTTTATTGATGAACCTCATATACGGTGATGCATACCATTACCGTTACAACAGGTCTCTGGAGTTTCTTCGCGCCCTCCTGAAAAACGGTGCACCGTTGGACGTAACGTATTACTACACTGTTCCAGGAGTAGATTATCATACAAAGATAAGAATAATGAAATATTGCCTCAGTAAAGGACTCGACCCGAATTTCGGCAACACACGCGATGACACTCTATTCCATCACGTTTTAACAGAGTTCAAGTTTGGGGACACCCACTATGAAGATCTGGACGAAATGGTCTGCTTACTTCTGTACTACGATGCCCTTCCTACAGAAGAATTTCAACACGATGGTCACAAGTACACAGCCTTTGATTACGTTTGTTTGAACATGCTGGACGAAGTTTCGTCGTTTGTTTTCGAGCAGCTGTTTCTGTACACTTTTGGAGACGGAGAGTGTGCTGGGAAGATTTCCCTAAGAGCGTTTCTTAGACTAGTAGAGACCGAGAAGTACTTGAAAAAGTACAAATGCATCCGCAAAGCACGTGTAATAGATGAGCTAAAGAATCTCGATCTTGAGTTTACTGTAGACGGGAATGAGATGAGGCATGGGTTACTCAAAAGTTTTGTCTGTATGGATTTTGCTTGCTGTGCGGATATGGTGAAAAGGTGCCCGGAGGCTCTAAAGGCAATATTAGAAGAAAGTGAGGTGTTCAGTAACCTTCCTGAGGAAGTTTATGAAATTACGAAAAAAATGAATTGGGTGATTGCACAGGAAAACATCTTCAACTGTGCGGTCGATTTTTTT